AATAATGTCTTTCCTCATCACACACACACACACACACACACACACACACACACACACACACACACACACTTCCTGTTTCTATACCAGAATCAGTATCTTTTCAAACACACACACACTTGAAATCGCCTCATCATCATTATCTCACAGCTGGCCTACAGAGCTGCACTTATTCCTCGGTTACATCTCCTTTCCTGCTTCGAGATGTCCTCCCTCTCTCCATCCTTCCCAATTTCTCGGAAATCTTTGGAGGCAATTCGCTTTCCTGCACTACCGATGAAGCAATTACAGATTAAAGATTGCTCTGACAAGACATCGACGTGTATTTACCGCTGCTTAAAGGTTCAATGGGAAGGATCCAGATTAATTAACTCCAGCTAACTGATAATGCTAACCTAGATTATCTGAACATGCAGAAATGTAAAATGTGTCTACAGGCGAGCATAATATTCAACCTAATGGGGAATAAAGGTTTCAATAATATATCAATAATATTCTCCTGGGGTTATAATTAGTTGCAAATTACGTCGGAAACTTACCTGTAAATTAAAGCGTCACCTATACTGAAGTTATTTTCACACTTATATAGATATATTCATCATTATTATTCACATCTGTACAGTATATATGTTAACAGTTTGACGTACTTCTATTGTTTAGTTACAATTTGTATTTCTTTGACACCTGAGTATTATTTTACCGTATCTTATTTAACTCGAAATCCTCCATTTTTTCTCCTGGGTATAATCATTTGTAACATGCCTTCCTTCCCCTTAAAGGCACAATCAGAACTGCTTGTCGGATAATAAACAGATAATAATACTAATCGAGCCCATTGATTACTGGCTAGGTTTGCTAACTTTTGTTTTTCAGCCAGTCTACACGTGTGACAATGTACTGAATGTAGGGCTGCTCGATTATGGCAAAAATAATAATCTCGATTATTTGGGTCAATAATTCATATCACTATTATTAAAAACGATTTACTTTGAAAACATCCATTTATTGCATTTTTTTTTTAAAAGTATGTTTTTAACAGTTCATTACCCTGAACTTTAAGTATAATTGAACTGAAAAACCAATTAAAAAAAAAATGTAAATAAAATAAATAATCGTTTTATTTCTATTATGTTGTTTTCATAATCATTGCAAGCAAAAATCGTAATAATTGAGCAGCCCTAACTGAATGTGATAATCCTCATCCAATAAAGGGATGGTAACGTCATCCAGCGTTTGACACTCGAGTGCTGAATCATTAACGACAACAATGGGAAGCAACTCTCCTCAAACTATTAGAGTAATTATATTGTTAAGTTACAATGCTTATTTGTCTTCCTCCCTCTGCTGTGTTTCCTCTGTCTGTTGATGCTGTTGCTGCTTTGACACCTTAGTATTATTTCATATTTCACTCTAAACCGTCTTGTTTCCCTCCTCAGTACCCCCCCTCACCTGCAGGTCTGTCAGCAGGTTGCTGGTCTCTCGGACCCTCGCCCTCGTGGCGTCCAGCTCTATCCTCAGTTTGTCTTGAGTTTCCCTCAGACAGCTGATCTGAGTCTGAGCCGAGTTCATGTTCTGCTGCCCCTCCCTCACCAGCTCCTGCAGGTGGGACACCTGAGCACATCCATGGAGGAAGTTCATCATCATCATCATCATCATCATCATCATCATCAGAGGAAGAAGAAAATGTTGTTACGTTTAAGGACTCTAAGTCACGTTAGTCAGAAAGATTTCAATTAAGAGAAACCTGCTGCAGCTTCTAAAACAGATGCAATTTGCAACACTAGAAAATATCAATTTGACGTCACATGAGTGTTTAGAAAAATATAAATCCATTGCAAGAAGCTAAAAGACAACAGGACCTGTTTACTAAAATGTTAGGTGCATGTGTTTTATTCTTCTTAAGGATTATGAAGTTATAATCCATGTGTCAGTGTTGTCAGAAACTCACTAAAATGAACAGCTTACTTTAACATTGTGATCACATGGGTACCTCCTGATTGGCCATGTCGCTTTTAAGGACTCTAAGTTACGTTAGTCGGATATATTTCAATTAAGAGAAACCTGCTGCAGCTTCAGAAAGGATGCACATTTAAAAAACAAACACATGCAATAGGTTTTCCAATTTGACAACACTCGAAAATATCAATTTGACGTCACATGAGTGTTTAAAGAAATATAAACCCATTGCAAGAAGAACAGGAACTGTTTACTAAAATGTTAGGGGCATGTGTTGAAGTTATAGTCGGGAATTATTTGTCAGTGTTGCTAGAAACTTACTAAAATGAACAGTTTTGGTTTATTTTTGATCACATAGCCTGGGTACCTCCTGATTGGCCATGTTGAGTTTGGCCGACAGCTCCTCCTTCAGGTTGTCGAGCTGCTGCTGGAGGCGATCTCTCTGCTCCTCCAACGACATACGCTTTATCTCAAACTCCTGACACATTTTCTGCACGGGAGAAGAAGAGAGATGCATTCAAATAACATTAAAGGTGGGGTAGGTAAGTTTGAGAAACCGGCTCGAGATACACTTTTTGTTATATTCCATGGAATGCTCTTAACATCCCGATAGCAATGAATATCTGAAGTGCTTTGATAAAAAAAATATAAAAAAATATCATCTGTGGAAGCCGTGGCGCTGTAAAAAGCACGACCAATCATCTGAGCCGGCCCGGCTAAAGTAACTGGATGGCCTACCTGCCTGTCAGCCTTCCATCTGTGCACAAACTTATCTCCTGCCCTCATTGGTCATGTGCGCGTTCGTGTGTGTTGGGGGAGGGGCTCTGTAAGGAAGTGGCAGATTTATTCCGGTTGTGTATTTTCAAATTCTAGCGATCTCCAGCTGGTTTCTTCAAAATTACATACCCTACCTTTAATGACAAAACCAGATTATTTTAACACTCGAAAAGACAAATTATGAGATGTTTTCTTTCTTCTGGTTTCTGCAGGAGTCTAATCTAAAAAAAAGGAGGGGAGTTAAGAAGCCGAAGTAAATCCCATTAGTGATTTAATGTGGAGTTTGAAGGAGGGACGCGTGAGTTGCCATTTTAACATTAAAAGGCCATCTCATATAACCAACCAACCGGCGTCTATAATCCCTCAAACACCATCAGATCCTCTCAATGTCTCTTAGGAAACGTTTTTATTTTCCCTCTTCAATATTTGCCTTTTTCACGCATCCTGGCACTGAAATCTACGGTGGATATGTTTTTTATGGAAGAAAAGCAGCAATATTCATGGTGTTTTTCTGCATTTCAGTACCGCTGGATTCAAGTGTCACTGTGTTTCCCTTCATAGCGCTAACATCTGCTGAATGAATGATAATCGAGTACGTTTCCCGCCCCCACATGACCAATTCTTACCATGCACTCTTAGATTAATGCCAGTAGAGCTGCTGAATATAATCACATAAAGAGAAGCAATGGAAATGTGTCACTTATTATGGGTTTTTACAATTATGTAAATGAATGTTTAAGGCAATACTAGAATCTTGGGATCAATGTAGTTTGATTTATTAGATTATTTTAATTATTGAATGAGCCAAAAATCTAAAAATGTTTGACTATATTTCCGTTTTTACTTATTTCATTTAAAACACATTATTCCCTTTTACACCGAAGGCTACAAAAGTCAGAACAATTGATTTGGCTTATGAATATCACACGATAATGCATTAATTGTGGGTAGCTGAGTTATTTAAAGGAGGGACTTATCTCCACATGGAGCTTTAAATATATATGCTAGCGTAATTCATCCCTCCCAGTCGTCTGAGGGCGTGAAACATTGTTACCATGAGAATCTCTCCAAGCTCTATTTCCCTCAAACGTTGTGAGACGTGAGAGAAATTTAAATCAAGCGCTCCTCTTATCTTATTCCCGACGGAGCAGAGCAGTAATCCACTTTCTCCTTTTATAACCCAATTACTGTAGATGTGCCTGTATCACACTGCAAAGAGGTCAGAGGTCACATTAAGGAACCAATGCTAATTATATAAACACTGAGAATAAATACCCTCACAAAAACACAATCAAAATATGGATTTTACACAAGGATTGTATCATCAAAACACAATACGGGTTGATATCAGTATGTAGTGTCTCTACTTTAAAGAGTCCTCTCCTGCTGATGTTCAGGTGTATATCAGTATGTAGTGTCTCTACTTTAAAGAGTCCTCTCCTGCTGATGTTCAGGTGTATATCAGTATGTAGTGTCTCTACTTTAAAGAGTCCTCTCCTGCTGATGTTCAGGTGTATATCAGTATGTAGTGTCTCTACTTTAAAGAGTCCTCTCCTGCTGATGTTCAGGTGTATATCAGTATGTAGTGTCTCTACTTTAAAGAGTCCTCTCCTGCTGATGTTCAGGTGTATATCAGTATGTAGTGTCTCTACTTTAAAGAGTCCTCTCCTGCTGATGTTCAGGTGTATATCAGTATGTAGTGTCTCTACTTTAAAGAGTCCTCTTCTGCTGATGTTCAGGTGTATATCAGTATGTAGTGTCTCTACTGGAACATGTCTCCATGCTTCAATGTTCAAAAAGCTCTTTATTGTTCTCATACTGCCTGTGCTGCATCACCTCTTTTCACCCTCTGTCTGAAACCAGAGCCCAGTCTGCTCTGATTGGTTAGCTGGCCGGCTCTCTTGTGATTGGTCAACGGCTTAGAGATGTCCCGCTCCTTATCATATTTTAAGACGAGACAGAGTTACCTCAATCTAGAAAGAATAATCCACCATACAAAATATTAATGAACGTCCACAGCAGAAAGGAGATCTGGAGATATGATGAGAGCCTCTTTAAGTAGACTGTGGTGAAAGATTAATTAATGCAGCGGAAGCAATTTGTACAATTGTATCGCCCTGGTTTAGAAAGCCGTTAATATTCTTTCCTCTTCCTCTTTCCCTCTCTCATTTCCCTTTAAATAAAAACTATCAATAATCTAAAGATGACGAGGCGCAGCTTACGTAATATTTTCATAATTTCTCTCTCCATCTCCACTCTCTTTCCTTTCAGGGAATCAGGCAGGATTTAATGTCAATGAAAATCAACCAATTAGCAGTCAGCTTCAAACAGCATTGGAAACTCCAGAGGGGGGGGAATAAGAGAGGGAAATGTTATGAAAGAGGAGAGATATAGGAAGAGACAGAGGGAGAACAAGGGGTCCAAAATTATTTAGGATTTGAGAAGTGATCATTCCGGAGACTGAATAAGCGTATATCGTGCTGCCTTCATGCCTCTGAGCTCAGTCCCTTTCACTGGACGTCAACAGGAACTCGCTGAATGCAGGTGGAGTCATGTGAGCGTGAGTAAATGTGGTGTAATGTGGTGTAAGGGTGAGAAAAACAAGCGCTCCTCCTCTTGTACAATTCCTGCAGGAAATGATAACCATACAGCAAATATAATGTCAAGTGAAGAAGTCGTGTGATTGGTGGACTTTAAGTGACGTCACCCTGAGTCATCGGCCCGTCACGGAGCCACGAGGGCGAATCTTATTTCTGTGACTCACCGTGGGTCACGCTGCTCTTTAAATGCTCCTTTTTTCTTCTTCTATGGTGTCAAAAAGGGGCTTCCTAAGATAGTGTGATAGTAGCTCTCAGACTGCAGTGGATCTTATGTGTGGTGAATAAGTAAAAACAGGATGAAAGGAGGCGTCTTGTGTCATCACAGGAAAGAAGTCTACAGTATACTACGTTGATATCGTAATTCTAGGTTTAGAGGCGTTTATTATATAAACACTGAGGATAAATACCCTCACAAAAACACAATCAAAATATGGATTTTACACAAGGATTGTATCATCAAAACACAATACGGGTGTATATCAGTATGTATGTAGTGTCTCTACTTTAAAGAGTCCTCTCCTGCTGATGTTCAGGTGTATATCAGTATGTAGTGTCTCTACTTTAAAGAGTCCTCTCCTGCTGATGTTCAGGTGTATATCAGTATGTAGTGTCTCTACTGGGACATGTCTCTTTGCTTTAATGTTCAAAAAGCTCTCTGTTGTTCTCATACTGTCTGTGCTGCAGCACCTCTTTTCACCCTCTGTCTGAAACCAGAGCCCAGTCTGCTCTGATTGATTAGCTGGCCTGCTCTGTTGTGATTGGTCAACTGCTTAGATATGTCCCGCCCCTTATCACTTATCCCTCTGGAGGGAACACAGGGATTTTATTTACATGCTCAAAGCCTATATAAGACCCTGCAGGAAAGGATCAGAGTATGATCCATATAAAAGTACTTTGTGCGGTGAGAATGCATTACGAGTGTGTATCCTTACACACCAAATACACACTCCACAAGTGGGTCTTCTATCTGTTTTTTCACCACTTAACCGTACCTCTTCACATATACTTCCATCTGTTAAGTTGTGGTTACAAAGGGCAAACTGTGCTCATCCTTTCTTGCAGTTTAAAGTGTGGAAAAGATCTAAAAAAGCCCCAGAAGGGGTGAATGACAACGAGGCCCCTGCGCCATAAAGCACCCGATTGAATTATTTACCTCCTCCATAAACATTTCCCCCCTGCCACCTGAAAGAAAAGGGCTTGCTTCTCTGAGTTATGACAGTAAACTGGTTTCGGCAGCGGGCCTCTTCAGGAATAATAGGCCTTTAAGGGCTAAGTTATAGCACAGGGAAGATTCTGTGTGACGATTCCCTGGCTTTACCCCGCTGCAGAGTAACCTGGCATCAGAAAACACCGGAGGGGGGTTTCCGGGAGAATAATGGAGTGCTGTTGTACTTAATTCATAAACTTGTCACAGCTCCTTTTCATTTTATTTCCAGAACAAACCCGATCATTCCTACCCCGCAAGGGTCAGTTAATAAATATCGGTTCCCTAAGAAGTGCTGCAGCGCTTAAAAACGGCACGGAGATAAAATATGGATGAGGGTGCTCCAGGTGTGTCAAGTGTGATTTAATGTGAGGAAGGGGACGCGCGGCGAGGAAGAGGAGATTGCTGAGGAGAGCACAGACAGACAGGGCGACCTCTGACCTCTGAATAGCAGCCAGTCAGCTAATACCGCTGAGCAGAACCTCACAAAACAGCCAATGGGGAGACGGCGCCCAAATCCATCAGCTTTTCTGATCAGGAGGAAGTCAATCTCCCGCCAATCCGTTAGTGTTTGTGGGAGTGTGTGTTTTTGGGATATAAGGTGTGAAAGTGTGACAAGCTGTGCGTGCACAGGTTGTGTGTGCATCCAGTGTTATGTTATTAGCAAACAAATGAGACTGTTGCAACCATGATAAGCAGAATCATTTGTTTGTTTTCAAAGCCTGGTGAACAACATTATTTTCAACATTATTTTCAATAAAGAAAAAAGAAAGTCTTTACCCACCAAAAAATGTGATCTGGTGGTTTTAGAGGAGAATAATCATGTTTTCATCTATCATGATGGTAAAAGTGAAAAAACGGGAATTATTAACAATTTAAAAAAGTTATCAGATATTCAGACGCCTTGGGAAAAAAACAAAACGTAGGCAGAAAAAGTATTATCAAAACTTTGCAGAATGACTTACATGCCATAGTTCTACTGGTAAATGGAAAGTGAAACTCATAGAAATGATAGAAAAAAGTCAGAAAGAATATACCTAATTGTTTAAGTTGAAAACATTACCACTGCCACTACTACTGGGGTGAAAAAGAAACGTATCAGCATTTGTCTAATTTGTTTATGCTAATGCCTTGAATGTATCACAGTTAAGCAGACTATGATGTATTGACGTTTCTACACTTGTGGCGTTTTAAGGACATGTGGTGGTGTGTTTTCCTTTTTGTGAGTGGGTTTGTCCTCCGTTGGTCACAGAGCCACGGGCCAGGAAATGGGCTTGGAGGGGCTAAGCCGACGGAGCATGAAGGCATCCATAAAGCCCCAAACCGCCTCCTGATACCAGCTAATCATTACACATCTTCCCCTCATCTGTTCAGCACGTTTGTTACTCCATCCACCCCCTCTTTGGTGTGACAAGTGACAGTGTGTGCGTCATGTGAGAAAAGAAAGAGTGTGTGTGTTGCTCTGAGAACTACCTTGCATGACCTCTAAATCTGCTGAGCGCTCACAAAAGGGAACTCTGCTCCCCACCTCTTCCCTCCATCTGAATCTCACACAGCAGCGAGGGGAGGGGTGGGGTGGGGTGGGGGGGTTTCTCTGAGAAAGGGAAGCACCGCCTCTGTATGAAGAGTAGTCACCAGATTCTCCACAAGTGTCACTCACAGGCGGAGAGAAATGTGCCGATCTTTCAACCGGAACACTCAATTCCACCCGAAGAAAAGCTTCTAAATCCCGGAGGTGACACACTTGTTAATGTGCATCGCCTCTTAATAAACAGTGATGCATAGGAACTTTATTTGTGTGCACAATCCTGATTCACCACAAGCACCTCCACCACAGACAGGGCTCACTGGGCAGCCACTGAGGCATGCATGCCCCCCCCATAAACCCACAGGTAGTCGTGCATAATTCCACTTCCTGCCCCCATTAATGGCTTCTGCTGACCTCTGAGCCCCCGAGGCTGAGAGACTGTTTTAAAACATACTTCAGTCCTTCATCACTTCTGTAGTGTAATCTGATTACTTTGAAATGTATGAGAACTGCCAATTTCAGCCTCCTGGATGAAACTGAAAGACCTTTAAACCTTTGTGTTTTGAAAATGAAATCAAGAAAACTTTATATTTTATTGAAGGCAATCCATCAAAAACGTATTTATTTTTTAAACTAGTCAAAGAAGAAAGTCTAAAACGTTTTCACAAAGTTTTGCAAAGGCATAACCGTCAAAACGCAGCCTACATGTCTAAAGTATGCTACAAAT